AAACAGGGGCTGTTGACATAAAATAAAGGGGATTTCAGCAGGTCTGATAATATAATTGAGCCTCAGACTATAAACACTCATTAAAGTTTTTGCAGTATGAACTCATCACTGTCGTAATTAATAAAACATATATTTTACATTTATAACAACATCACACAAAACAAGTATTCATAACAAATTAGTCATTAGATTAGCAGCTGCACATCTATGTAGAAACTGGAGAACCACAAAACCTGTAGAAAAGAAAGAGCTCCACAAACTAATTTAAGATTTTCTACGTAAATATAAACTTTCTACGTATATACCTGGCGGAGTAGATTCTTATTATTCAGGACAAATCATACTTTGGAATATTAGTAAAACAGACACGTGGAAAGACGCACAGATAAACCCAAACACTGAGCTCATATGTTATTCTCAGAGCTCCTCTCTGCCTGCTGTATTGTTTTGGTCAGCAGACACACAGATAGAGGTGAACTCAATGCAGAAACTAGTCGCAGATTGTCGCTTTAATAAACTGTAAAGTGTGTTTTATTGTTGTGTAAACACGAGAAAAAGCGTCAACGACTTACCTCAGCTCTGAAGACTCGACGCTGAATGAACGCGTCAGCGCTGACGTCATCACTGCGAGGCGGTAGCAACAGAGGATCAACAAAACCTACTTTGTTTAGAAATGTAAAACTCATCTAATTAAAAAAAAGCCTTACGCTAGCTGATCGGGCCATGGGAGGATTTGATTTAGTGGGTTTTCCCCACACTTAATAATTTATTTAAAATTAAGTGGTTAACGACGATTTTAAACAACCGAACGTCATGTTGGAATTTTATTCCAAATTATATTTTTACCTCAGTTGGAGGTTTACATTTTTTGTTGCACTGTAATTTTGACATCTCTAAAATTCCCTTAAAAGTATCTAGTTTTTATAAGGAGGCTTTAATATGTTGGTCTCTTACATAAAATTATTCTCCACGTAAAATTTTATTCTGCCGGAAAAGTGGTACGGTACGGTTTAGTCTGCTTTTTGACAGTGGAAACAGCCATAAGAGCTTACCAAACCGAACCCTACCATACCACTAGTATGTATCACTGAAAGTGAAAATCTTCTCAATCCTGAACAGGCACACAAAAAACTAATAACAAATATACAAAATCAAACCTGCAGCTTCTCCACGATGGACGTCCAGCATCTCCAGCCTCCAGTGCCTAGACTGCATCTCTGCACAAGAAGTTTGGCCAGAGGAGAAATGGTCGTGCCCAACTGAGCCTGGTTTCTCTCAAGGTTTATTTCCTTCACTTTGGTCAATTGGTAAAGTTTGTTCCTCCACTGTCGCCACTGGCTTGTTTGGTTGGGACTTGTGGAGCTGCGCATCGATGGATTTACCCTTCATTGTTTGAACTCTCAGCAGTGCAAATTAAACCACACTGAACTGAACTGAACTGAACTTCAACTCTGAAAACCGGCGGTTTTAGTTTACACAATCTACATTGAAAAAAGCGCTATAGGAATGAAGATGAATCAAACTGAATCAACAGCAGGTAATGAATATTAATTTGGAAATTAAACACTATACAAGGAAAACCAGCTCTGTATTTTGATGTTTTGCGAAATTACATGAATTGTATCAAGGAAATACAACATGATACACTCCACTGCACACAGGTAAAAAAAAAAGTGCACTAAAATGCACTTTATTTAAGTATACTTAGTACACTTTTTAGTACTGTACTAAAAGTGCTCTATTTTCGCACACTATTTTTTTACCTAATGTACTAAAAGATAGTACTAAGTATATGTTAAGATAAGCTTAATACCATCTAAGTGTACTCAACTGTGCTATTTTGAGACACCCTGAAATTGAACTAAAATGTGCTTTTAACATACTAAATCTGTATTTTAAACAATATATATTTAGTTACAACTAGAAATACACTTGAACCCTACTTTTAAACATTTAAATATATTTAAGAATAGCTTAAAGCATAATAGTAATATATTAAAAGAATATACAAAATGTCAAAGCAGTGTGCTAAAATACATTTTAAGTACACTAATTATACTTTTTTAGTACTGTACTAAAAGTGCTCTATTTTCGCACACTAATTTTGTACCTAATGTACTAAAAGATAGTATTAAGTATATGTTAAGATAAACTTAATACCATCTAAGTGCACTCAACTGTGCTATTTTGAGACACCATGAAATTGAACTAAAATGTGCTTTTAACATACTATATCTGTATTTTAAACAATATATATTTAGTTACAACTAGAAATACACTTGAACCCTACTTTTAAACATTTAAATATATGACTAATTTAAAGTATAATAGTAATATATTAAAAGAATATACAAATTGTAAAAAAAAAAAAGTGTGCTGAATACTGTATTAAAAGTGTTTTGGGAAAATGTACTTCTACTACAATACATTACTAATAGATTTTTAATAAAGTAAATTAAATGTAAACTTAAAATTGTCACACTCAAAATCCATTTAAGTGTTAGTGATAATAGTGCATTCACATTAAGTGTACTAAGGTACAACTTTTGAGAAAATGTACTTCTACTACAATACATTACTAATAGACTTTTTATATATTAACTTATTTTAAACTTAGGATTAGTATGTAAACAGTGTACTAAAATCAACTAATGTTTAAAGCACACTTGAAAAACGCACTAATAAAACTCTTTTGGATGTTTTTTCTGTAGTGTACTTTATTGTAGTACACTAAAAATTTATTTAAGTATTACTGTTATTTAGTATACTTTTGTCAAGTGTACTAAAGTCCTACTGAAGTATAAACATACTTTTAATTAGTATATTTATAGTGTAAAACCATCAAACTTTTATTTAACACACAAAAACAACAATACTAAAAATGTATTTGCGGGTATTTAAGTGTATTTTAGTTGCATTTAATTATATTTTTTCACCTGGGAAAGCAGTGTGCTAAAATACATTTTAAGTACACTAATTATACTTTTTTAGTACTGTACTAAAAGTGCTCTATTTTCGCACACTAATTTTGTACCTAATGTACTAAAAGATAGTATTAAGTATATGTTAAGATAAACTTAATACCATCTAAGTGCACTCAACTGTGCTATTTTGAGACACCATGAAATTGAACTAAAATGTGCTTTTAACATACTAAATCTGTATTTTAAACAATATATATTTAGTTACAACTAGAAATACACTTGAACCCTACTTTTAAACATTTAAATATATTTATGACTAATTTAAAGTATAATAGTAATAAAAAAAAGTGTGCTAAATACTGTATTAAAAGTGTTCAAATGTACTTCTACTACAATACATTACTAATAGATTTTTAATAAAGTCAATTTAATATAAACTTAAAATTACCACACTCAAAATGCATTTAAGTGTTAGTGATAATAGTGCATTCACATTAAGTGTACTTAAGTACAACTTTTGGGAAATGTACTTCTACTACAATACATTACTAATAGATTTTTTTATATATTAACTTATTTTAAACTTAGGATTAGTATGTAAACAGTGTACTAAAATCAACTAATGTTTAAAGCACACTTGAAAAACACACTAATAAAACTCTTTTGGATGTTTTTTCTGTAGTGTACTTTATTGTAGTACACTAAAAATTTATTTAAGTATTACTGGTATTTAGTATAATTTTGTTAAGTGCACTAAAGTCCTACTGAAGTATAAACATTCTTTTAATAAGTATATTTATAGTGTAAAACCATCAAACTTTTATTTAACACACAAAAATAACAATACAAAAAATGTATTTGCGGGTATTTAAGTGTATTTTAGTTGCATTTAATTATATATTTTTTCACCTGGGAAAGCAGTGTGCTAAAATACATTTTAAGTACACTAATTATACTTTTTTAGTACTGTACTAAAAGTGCTCTATTTTCGCACACTAATTTTGTACCTAATGTACTAAAAGATAGTATTAAGTATATGTTAAGATAAACTTAACACCATCTAAGTGCACTCAACTGTGCTATTTTGAGACACCATGAAATTGAACTAAAATGTGCTTTTAACATACTATATCTGTATTTTAAACAATATATATTTAGTTACAACTAGAAATACACTTGAACCCTACTTTTAAACATTTAAATATATTTATGACTAATTTAAAGTATAATAGTAATATATTAAAAAAATATACAAATTGTAAAAAAAAAAGTGTGCTAAATACTGTATTAAAAGTGTTTTGGGAAAATGTACTTCTACTACAATACATTACTAATAGATTTTTTTATATATTAACTTATTTTAAACTTAGGATTAGTATGTAAACAGTGTACTAAAATCAACTAATGTTTAAAGCATTTAAAGCACACTTGAAAAACACACTAATAAAACTCTCTTGGATATTTTTCTGTTGTGTACTTTATTGTAGTACACTAAAAATTTATTTAAGTATTTCTGGTATTTAGTATACTTTTGTCAAGTGTACTAAAGTTCTACTAAAGTATAAACATACTTTTAATTAGTATATTTATAGTGTAAAACCATCAAACTTTTATTTAACACACAAAAATAACAATACTAAAAATGTATTTGCGGGTATTTAAGTGTATTTTAGTTGCATTTAATTATATTTTTTTTTCATCTGGGCATTCCTGGACATGTAATTACTTCATCTAAATTACATGAAAGTGTTTTGCTATCTGTAATTGAGAGTGAGCACTTTATTTCATTAACATACACACATTTAGCTGTCAAATCTGGTGTTTGTGAACAAAGGAATGTTAAATTTCACTGAAGTGTAAACAACATGTAAAATTAACAGGCTTCTGTATGCACTCTGAGATGGTTTTTCAGATTTGAAGCATTGAAATATGTTTTGCCGCACTGCTCGCACCTGTGCGTTTTCTCTCCAGTGTGGATCTTCATGTGTTGATTAATGTGTGATGATTGTGTGAAACCTTTCCCACACAGAGAACATGCGAACGGCCTCTCTCCAGTGTGAATCCGCTCATGTATTTTCACTGATTGCAACATACTGAATCTCCTCTCGCAGTGCGAGCACTTGTACGGTCTCTCTCCGGTGTGGATCATCTGGTGCAGTTTCAAGTGCGCAGCTGTAATGAAACTCTTCCCGCACTCAGAGCAGACAAACTCCCTCACGCCAGTGTGGATCCTCTGATGTGCTTTTAAATTTGACGTCTGAGTGAAACTCTTCCCACACTCGGCGCATGAATACGGCTTCTCGTTTGTGTGAACTCGAAGATGTTTCTTCAGATCTGAAGAAATAAAAAAGGTCTTGCCGCAGTGATCACACTTGTGTGGTTTCTCTCCAGTGTGGGTCCTCTCGTGTGTTTTCAGGTTTCCTAAACGAATGAACCCCTTGTCGCAGTGTGAACACTTGTAAGGTTTCTCTCCAGTGTGGATCATCATGTGATGCCTGAGAATGTGTTTGTCTCGGTAACTCTTTCCACACTGAGTGCAGGTGAAACCTTTCACGCCTGCTGCTTCCACTGAAATACTATGTTCGGTGTTTGTGTGAGTTTCACTTTCACTTTTGACATGATGCTTCTCCTCATCGTCACTCAGTTCTTCACTCTCCTCCTTCACAATCACATCTGAAAATGTAGTAAATAAGAGGCAAGTTATTAAATGTGCAGTTGAATTATCACAAATAAGAGCATCTGTGTGTTTTGAGATGTGTGAGGGCTCAAAAATGTTCACACTTTGACTTTTATACACTGTAGGAGCCACTTTTTGTGTTGTAGTGATTTCTGTTGTCCACTAGGTGTCGCTAACTGAAAACTATGGCTGTTTCTCAACTCCAAAAACGCAGAGAACGGACTTGTGTTCTTGTGGAGAGCGGTCTTGCCAGGTGTCCTCGGAAGAACGAACTCAGGAGACCGCGAGGGCAGAGAATGCGTCCTTTGAGAAACGGGATGCTGCGTTCTTCCTGATGGTCATGTGACCTTCACGTGTTTTAAATGGAAATTATTTAAACATTAAAGCACTCGTACAACTATTTTTTGTTTCCCCCCTTTTCAAAATATATACTTTGCATTAAAACATTATAAATATACTCTGCACAATATAAATAAAACTGATTTTAATACGAATTTCAGTAAACAAACAACCCTTAATGTGTTTACTCCTTTATTAAGATGTTCAAGGTAATGTTTACTTTCACCGTTTCATTTAGGGAAACTCCTGAGGTAAATAAGTGATATCTCTGAACTTTAATAATAAATCTAGATAAAATGCAGCGCTTCCCACCTCCAGTCGCAATGACTTCTGGGACTTCCAGAGCGAGTTCGGTGCTCAAGTCTGCATCGGTGCGTCCTCGATATCAAGAACACATCCGGGAAGTTTCACGCGTCCTCCGTACTTGCGGTCTTGAGTATTGGAACTGAACTTAGGCAGCTGATGATGACGTTGCACGAGAACACGAGGACGCAAGACCGCTGAAGAACGCATATTGAGAAACAGCCATAACTAAGGTGTCTGAGTAAGCGAGGAAGAGCGTCAGGTATGGGAAAGCACAAAGATTGAGGCTTTGTTTTATTCACCTTTACAAAATAAAGACGTTTTGCTTGAAATCAACTTTAGCATGCATGGACTCTGATTGCACGAGTGAAATACGTGCTCACCCCCGTTTCTGGCTACAACAGCAATGGAAGGCTGTTATATACACTCAACAATATGACTTGGTCCGATTAGAAACTCTGCAGTGTGAAAGCGAACTGCTCCAAGAGCAAAGAGCAACAATGTAACAATTGCTATCTCTGTTTCGGAACAACTGAATCGATTCACAGGTGTGAAAGCACCCTAAGGTAAAATAAAAGGTAAACAGTTGTTCAGCCTCATTATTGAAGAGTAATGAATAAACACAAACCTATTAGTTCTTCAGTCTCTTCCTGTTTAATTCTGCAGGGTTCTGGATCACTCATCTTCTCACTGTCCTTCAATAAACTCTGTCTTTGTCTTTTACTGATGGAGCTTCAGGAGAACAGAGAAATCTAAGTCATTTACACTGATTAAGGAAATAATTGATGATATATTATGATAGTTATATTTTCTAGGTAATACAATGTGATTATGTATCAAGTCAGCTGACACCAACAAAATAAATTAACATGACTGTTAAAACTACTCATTAAACAGCCATTCAGGATAAGCTGCAGATCAGCTTATTTTATACTGTTTATACAGGGTGTTTGCAGGATGAATTCATTACTATTAAAATTAAACAAATAATTAAATAACGGTTTTATACAAGTACTTACATGAATAAAAAAAAGAATTGTTAGCCGTAGCACATCTATGTACATAAACTTTTATAAAGAGCACCACAAACTATTTATTTAATGTTTTCTGCATCAAACTTAATATTTCTACGCCAGCAGATTCCCACAATTTCCCTTCACATGTCATAATTTGCGATATTACAAATACAGAGAAAACCCCAAACACATTCACTCATATTGTCCTCTCAGAGCTGCTCTCCGCCTGCTGTATTGTTTTGGTCAGCAGACACACAGATAGAGGTGAACTCAATGCAGAAACTAGTCGCAGATTGTCGCTTTAATAAACTGTAAAGTGTGTTTTATTGTTGTGTAAACACGAGAAAAAGCGTCAACGACTCACCTCAGCTCTGAAGACTCGACGCTGAATGAACGCGTCAGCGCTGACGTCATCACGGCGAGAGCCACGACGGATAAACAAACATGCGCCAAATTTAAATACTGCTGACAGGCCAAAACAATCGCTAATGTAGACAAAAGGCCAACCGTGCTCGATTATGTGTTGGGAAAATATTGCTTGTTAGGCACCTAAATTGTTAAAATGCACTTAATTTCTTCCTAAATAACAAGTTTGCTCTTTTCCTTATCAGGGGTGTCCAAACTCGGGAGGGCCGGTGTTCTGCATATTTTAGTTCCAACCCCAATTAAACACACCTGAACCAGCTAATCGAGCTCTTTTTAGTTATACTAGAAACTTCCAGGCAGGTGTGTTAAGAGAAGTTGGAGCTAAACTATGCAGGACACCGGCCCTCCAGGACACCCCTGCCCTATAAGTAAATACAAGAAAAATCTAAGTTTTTAAATGTAAGACAATACATTTAAAAAAAATAATAGCAGAGGAAATAACAGGACATCACGGTGGGCACAGTGGGTAGGACGTTCGCCTCACAGCAAGAAGGTTGCTGGTTCGAGCCTCGGCTGGGTCATTTCTGTGTGGAGTTTGCATGTTCTCCCCGTGTTCACGTGGGTTTCCTCCACCAGCCTGATGATACGTGCTATAGGGGAATTGAATAAGCTAAATTTTCTGTAGTGTATATGTGTGAATGAGAGTATATGGGTGTTTTTTTCAGTGATGGGTTGCAGCTGGATGGGCATCCGCTGCGTAAAACATGCTGGATAAGTTGACCTCAGATTAATAAAGGGACTAAGCTGAAAAGAAAATTAATTATGGATGTTTGTAATGTAATGTAATGTGTATTTATATAGCGCATTTATTGTGTATGGCCATATACCCAAAGCGCTTCACAATCATGAGGGGGGTCTCTACACACAATTTGCCACCATAATAAATCTTTCTAAGAGTCTGGTCATGACAGATCAATGAAATTTCACTGCAAAAAATGCTTGTCTTAGTTAGATTTTTTTTGTCTTGTTTCTAGTCCAAATATCTAAAAGTTCTTAAATCAAGAAGCATTTTCTAGACAAGCAAAACATATTGTCTTGTTTTAAGAAATAATATGCCAAGATGAAGTAAGTTTTTCCTCAAATCAAGCAAAATAATCTGCCAATGGGGTAAGCAAAAATAATCTTGTTTTTCTATTTGTGATAAGATTATTTTGCTTACCCCATTGGCAGATTATTTAGCTTAATTTAAGGAAAAACTCGCTTCATTTTGGCATATTATTTCTTAAAACAAGACAATATGTTTCGCTTGTCTAGAAAATGCTTCTTGATTTAAGAACTTTTAGATATTTGGACTAGAAACAAGACAAAAAAAATCTAAGAAAGAAAACACATTGCAGTGTTGATGTTTTGCGAATTAAATAGAAAGTTTTGTTAGACTTTTCCTAGTCCTCCCAGGTTAAAACATCAGTCAGAGGCTTTAAAAAAAAGTTTTATCAATTAAATTAATTAGATGAATATAGCATTACAGAGCTCCGGGTGTCAGAGAACAGCAACCCAGGCAGTCTTTTAAAAAAAAAAAATGTATTTATCATCAGGGGCGCTTCAGTAAGAAAGATCCTCCATCCAGATCAGTTCAATCATCAGTTGTTAGGCAGAACAGCAAATCTGCAGAGAAAAAGTTGCGCATACACATAACAGAGCCTGCAGGAGAGTGAGCCTTTGCCCCTCCCGTCCGTGATTGTTCCTGTAAATGAGCACACTCTAGAAGTGGAATTGTAACATTTTGTTGATAACAAGTACAGAGGAGTTAACTTCCCGGTTATCAGTAGGCCCACACGGAATCTGTGCGCGCAGAATTCCGCAGATTTTCCACAGATTTTTAGCCCGTTATTAATTCTGTTTATTTACTTGAGTAAATGTGTAAATCTGAGTTTATTCAGTTTTTATTCAGTAATTTATTACTTTTTATTTAATATATTGAGGTTTTAGTTATGATACTCCGCTGGATACTCCCAAAATAATTCCGCTGAAATCCGCAGATTTTTACCAAAATTCTCCGCAGAAATAGCAAAAAACGTCCGCAGATTCCGTCTGGCGATAGTTATCAGTCACACGAAGACACAGCTGTTATGAAGCACGGTTAGATGAGGTTAAGCACATAAGGTTAAATGAGGATAAACACATCAGCATGAGTTCATGTAATTAGTTAAAAACAGAACTAAACTATTAACGCATAAGATGAAGTTAAAATCATCACAAATTCCTTCAGTTTTACGTGTAAAACTCTTAATTGACATCAGCAAGGCTTCTCCTTTGTGTGAACTCTGAGATGGATCTTCAAATTAAAAGCAGTCAAAAACGCTTTGCCGCACTGATCACATTTGTGCGGTCTCTCTCCAGTGTGGATCTTCATGTGACTATTAAGGTGTGACGATTGTTTGAAACTCCTCCCGCACTGAGTACATGTGAACGGTTTCTCTCCAGTGTGACTCCTCTGGTGTTGTATCAGAGCTCCAGGTCTAATAAAAGTCTTCTCACACTCGAAGCACACATGCTCTCTGACATCAGCGTGAATCTTTTGGTGTGCTTTCAAATATGACTTCTGTCTAAAACTCTTCCCACACTCAGTACACGAATAAGGCTTCTCGTTTGTATGAAGTCTGAGATGGACCTTCAGATCGGACTGCCTCAAAAATGTTGTGCTGCACTGATCGCATCTGTGCGGTCTTTCTCCAGTGTGGATCATCGCATGCGTTTTCATTTGTTCTACAAATCTGAACGTCTTGTCGCAGTGTGAACACTTGTACGGTCTCTCTCCGGTGTGAATCATATGGTGTCGTCTCAAGTCGGCAGCTTTCATAAAACTCTTCCCACACTCAGAGCAGACAAACTCCCTCACACCAGTGTGGATCTTCTGATGTCTTCTTAAACTTGACTGCTGTCTAAAACTCTTTCCACACTCAGTACAGGAATAAGGCTTGTCGTTTGTATGAACTCTAAGATGTTTCTTCAGATTTGAAGAAACACAAAAAGTCTTGCCGCATTGATCACACTTGTGCGTTCTCTCTCCTTTGTGAATGAGCATGTGTTCTTTCAGGTATCCTGGATGATTGAATCTCTTGCCGCAGTGTGAACACTTGAATGGTTTCTCTCCAGTGTGGATCCTCATGTGACGGTTCAGAGTGGATTTATGCCTCATTCGTTTTCCACACTGAGTGCAGGTGTAACCACGTATGGCTGTGCTTTGTTGATCACTCGTGTGTGTGGTCTCTTCGATGTGAATCAGCATGTGCTCTTTCATGTGTCCCAACTGTCTGAATCTCTTCTCGCAGTGTGAACACTTGTAAGGTTTCTCTCCAGTGTGGATCATCAAATGACGCTTGAGAATGGTCTTCTTCTTGAAACTCTTTCCACACTGAGTGCAGGTGAAACATTTCACGGCTGTTCTTTCCACTGAAAAACTATGTTCAGTGTTTAATTGAGTTTCACTTTCAGTTTTGACCTGATGTTTCTCCTCATCTTCACTCAGTTCTTCATTCTCCTCCTTCACCACCACATCTGAAAATTAAGTAAATACGTTACATTTTAAACTGTACAGTCAAACGATCATGAACAAGAATATTATTTAGTTATATAAATAGTTTGTAAGCTCATTTAAAACAGTGGCCCACATCAGATGCATGTTTTTGTTTTTTACTTTTTATTATTATTTTATTATTATTTTTGACAATAGGAACTCACAATAAAGGCTCATTTATAATTCAGCATCATACTGCGCCAGGCATATGCTACGGAGCAGCCTACGCGTCGACACAAAGCCTTACGCCATGGCCAACGGCTTAGCTGACGTGCACCTTTAAAAAAATGTAACTAGCATCGACGTGTAGCGCAAGCTCTGTGATTGGTAAGCTTGGAAGCGCTGATGAGTCTGGGCGGGACCGATTGCTACACGAGCCCGATGGAGCGATTGTTTACAAGTCTCGAGCCCCATGAAGGAGCTCCGGATGGAAAGTTTTGTTTTGTGTTTACCTCATAGTTAAAGTTGTTGCACGTCCGTCAGGTCCTGCCTCAAAATGAGCGAGTTTGAGCCACTTGTACATTCAGGAAGCAGAAAAAACAAATCAGCAGCGAAGAAACTCGACACAGAGACACATTAACACCTCACTGCCAACTAGCGTTTCGGAAGTGTTAATGCAGACCAACAGAAACAGCGCGCAGAAGTATAAATGCACAGGTACGCACGTTGCATGCACCGTGGGTTACGTCGGTCACTTGACGCAGAAGTATAAACCAGGCTTACACAGCCAAACCAATAGATGGCGTATCAAACGCATGTAAAAGACACAAGATTAAATAAATACATTGAAAAAAGTAGTACATCCACATCCAAGGCAGCAGGATAATAAGAAATGTTATATCACCATCGTCATCATTAATCTTTTATAATTATTAGACATCTATTTTGGAAATATTGCTCAAATGTCAGTAAGTCATAACAGAATTAGTTGGTTGTTTCTAGTTCTTGTTAGTCCTGATTGATGATCTTTTCAAATACAATAAATCCCTTAATATACAATTTGCAGTGGTGCTCCTTTATTTATGGTGGGCGCTCCTAATATTTTCTGGCGCTTCTAAATTTTAAGTCAGGAGCACTGGTGCTACCCAGCTTCATTGTTCTGTCATTTATTTTCAGTTAAAAATTATGTATGTTTAAATGTCAAAAATTTAAATTATTTTTAGAAAATAAATGTGTCCATTAAGAAATGGACAACGTTTTATTATTATTTTGCACTGTATTAATGGGTTACTGAGCAGCAATAAACAACACTGTAAAACATAAGGAGTTTTCATCTGATTTTCTAAACTAATGGTGTTTTGAAATGAATGAATGCATAATAATCGTGATAATCATGAAACCGTGATTATTTCTTAGACTATAATCGCACAACCAAAATCTATAATCACTCATTTAATAAATGTTTTTATCAACTTTTAATTAAGTCAATTTTTCACATCACTTGAGTGATATGTTTGAGTAACATTCACACCTCTGAAAGTGGGCACTTGTGAATAACTTCCCTAATTCGTAAGTGTGGATATCTCAATACGTAAACCAAAAAGCTAAAAGAAGTTATCAGTCAAATAAAATTGCAAACAGCACATTTAGGATGGCATTTATAAAAAAAAAAAAAAGTATTGAGGATATTAAAAGGAAATACCAAGACAAAAGCACTCTTACAATGTTGAGTCGACCACATCATGTTAAATAAGACCTTAGGATGCTTTCACACTTGGTTCAATTGCCTGGACTTTGTACTCTGACGTCAAACGAACCCGGGTGCGGACCAAAAGTGCGAGTGTGAAAGCACCCTTAAGATCCATCAGTGAAAGTGGAAGAAAACGATAAATATAATCACTTATGAAACAGATTTTATTTCATTTTCTTAGAGAACAGAACTGATAGACAACCGTTTTTTTTTTTTTTTTTTACTGTATTTTTCTTTTGGGAATAGACAAACTGGTTTACACTCCTACACAATAAGGGGCGATAATACACCTTAAACTGTGTTGTTACCCACCATATAATCAAAAAAAAATAATAATAAAAATACTCTGACAAGCCAATGCATTGATAAAATGAACAGCTGGATGTGCCCAAACTTTCTTCAGTTAAACAAAGAGAAAACTGAAGTCATTGAGTTTGAGAACAGAGATGAGGTTCTCAAGGTAAACACGCACCTTGGCTCTAAGGGTCAAACAACAAAAAATAAGGTCAAGAATCTCAAGGTCAATAGTCATGCCAAAACAGTAACTGAAGCAGAATACTATCATCTCTAAAACATTGCAATTATTAGATGCGTTGTTTCCAATTAAGATTTGAGAAACTTGTTGATGCTTTTATCAGCAGTATAGTGGATTACTGTAACGGCCTGCTCACTGACCATCCCAAAAAGCTCATCCAGAACGCTGCTGCCAGAATTCTGACCAGAACCAGAAAATCAGAGCACATCACACCTGTCCTCAGGTCTTCACACTGGCTCCCAGTTACTTTTTGAATAATTTTTCAAGTATTCTTATTGGTCTATAAATCATTAAATGGCCTAGAAGCTCAATACATTACAGATAGGCTCACTGAATGCAAACCTAACAGATCCCTCAGATCTTTAGGATCACGTAGGGTAAATCGGCCTTCAGCCACTACTAAAATAGCATAAGAAATAATGCTGCCAGTTTCTCAGTGAAAATGGTCTCTCGAAATTGTATCATTCTGTGATAAAACTAAAGTTCAGGTTTCCTCAGTCTGTCTGTGTTGCCCTTTTTAGAGAATAATACAATGTTTGCAATTAAACAGTTAGGGTCCTATCAAACACCCGGCGCAAGGCACGATGCAATCGTTGTTTGCTAGTTTCAGCTCGCCGCAAGAGTCGTTTTGTCGATTTGATGTTTTGCGCCACGCTGTTTAAATAGCAAATGCATTTGCACTCATATGTGCACCCATAGGCGTTCTGGTCTAAAAAAGGAGGCGTGTTGAGACGTGTTGCTATTTTAAGGAACTAAAATACACTGTTTAATAGACCAGCTGAGAGGAGGTCCAAAGTCCAGCGCAGAGCACGTAAGTTGTGCGTCTCGCTTATACATTGCTTAATACACACAGGATGTACAGCAATACGCAACTATCTTTACAGATGAAAAAGAATTAAAGGATTAAAATATTACAAAAATATTATTTTCTAGCCTACATAAACACAAAAACCACCACCTTCATGCCTTCTTCATCTCGTGGGGCTTTTTCAGTTGATTGATTTTATTTGACAATTTTACCAAAAATATACAAACAAGTCCAGTTAGACTAATTCATACATATTTTAAAAACTGTCGAGGATAAAATATACAAAAAAGCCACAGACTTATTTCCATTGTGGTCCTCGATATTCTTAAAAAATGGATGAGCAAATCATAAATGGAGTGCAAACATCAACAGCTCAGCAACTCGGCACAACAAAAAAACTTCAACTTTAAAACAACGACTTTTTAATTCCCCCTCTAAAAACACTCTCAATTTGAATCTCTTTAAAAATGGTGGGCAAAATATTCCAAGCAGCAGAGCAGAGATTCTCGTACACAAAAAAGAATTTCTTCCTGATTCACTCTTGAATCTATATGGGTAAATATCCCTGCTGCGTGCTCTTGTAGAATGACTGTGCACCTCGCTGACTAGAACATAATAATTAAGAAAATATTTTGGGACCGTTTTCTTTAAAATCTTAAAAACCATCACTAATTTTAAAAACTCTACCCTCTTCTCAACTTTTAAAAAATTACTTTGACTACAATGTTCCTTATTTAAATGTGTCAGTGGAGAAACTTTCATAATAATTCTACACAACTTATTTTGGGCTGTCTGCAATTTATTTTTCATTTTTTTAGAACTACCGCTAGTTTATTCATGACAATTTGCTTTTGTATAATTTTATTATTATTAGCAGTATTATTTATTATCTGCATATTTATGTTTGTTTTAACAAAAACAAGCTTAGATTTGCCCACCTGTCAGCTTTAAGACCATATGGGGCACAGCATGTGTATTAGGATATAACTCTTATATTAGGACATAACACTTCGCTATTATTGTTCATTTACTGTTTTGATGAAAATCCGAACTAAATTTAGAAATAGTTTTGAAACAAATCTTTGCACTTAATAAACTAAATTAATTATGTACAGGCTAATGGATGTCTGTGCGTACAACACGTTTCCCTATCCATGAGAGTGAAAGTGAAAGTAAAGAATGAGGAGAATCTCTCATTCTTGCGCTGCAAACGCTCTGTTTAACTGTTTTTTTTATTAGTGAAGCGTTCAGTTTTTCCACTTACAAAGTCCGCCATGTAAATACCAAATGCGCTATGGTGCAATGCAACGAATGGAAATGGGAGAAGAGACTCTGATTGTTTTATTCTCAAAACACACCTATAACTCATTTAAGAATAAGCTCAACCCTGTTAGACCATGTGCACACCCTTCTCAAATCACACCCTTAATATGTGTGTGTGTATATATATATATATATATATACACACACACATACACACACTCACACACACACACACCCATAGGAGTTGAACAATAAAACTGAAACACTGGCTAATATAGTGTTGGGGGTTTCATGGCTAAATCTGATGAGCCTGGTGGCCAATCTTCATCGATTTTACATTCCACCAGTAAGAGCAGAGTCTGACAGTTTAAGTAGCAGACTAATAGCACAGTGTTGCTTAAAATATTATAATATATATTGCAGTATGTCCATACAGCAGCATACACAGCCATGGCCTGATGGTGAGGTGGATTTTATACTCTTTAAAGTGTGAAGTTAATCTATATATTCAAATTGTACGTGTATAATCTGCTTGTAGACTTGCATACCATTAAAACAATTAAAGTGTTATGAAGAGTTAGAAAGGGGAAACGGCCTGAGGAAACAACTAAGGGTCATAAAAAAAGGGATGAAAAGAGAGTGGTAAAAAAGCCTGAGGTGTCTCAGGAAACAGATGTCAGAGGTGGAATTTGGGGTCAGGGGTTAAACTAGGAGGGATCTTGTGTAATATATGGAGAACAAAGGAAAACAACGGATGTAAAAGGGTATTTAAGTAAGGCCAGAACGTGAGTCAGACAGAATTTTTCAGACAGAGATGCTACTGGGGGTCTCCTGAAAGTTCTCCTTTGTTGTCGACAATAAAGTATATTCTTCTGATATTCATAACCTCCAGACTGAGTTTGATTTAGTAAGAGAAAAACCAAGAAAACCACGACAATGGTTAGAGAGTCCTGCAGGGTCGAGTCCCGGCACCTGCAGGGATTGTTGGTGGGAAGAGTGAATAAACATCCACCTCAGTACCACAGCTGAGGTGATTCTCTTGACCAAAGCACCCTAACTGCTCTCCGGGCAGCCTAATGCTCTGGGTGTTTGTCAATGGGTGTTAGTCACTTTGAATAAAAGGGTCTGGTAAATGCAATACACACAACATTCTGGGTGACATTTCAGAGTTAAAAAAAAGAGGACAAATTACAGGTGTGCATCTTCTTGGTGCACCTGTGGCCAAGATGACAAGTCTTTGTACTCTTATCAAGAGCCCCGGTGTTGAGGGTAATGTCAGCAAACCACCAAGAAGAAGAACCACATCCAAGGGATTTGTGAAACCACATTCTGCACACTTTACAGAGTCCTGGCTGTGGAGGAAGAGGATAAAGGTATTTGACTGGCCTGTCTGCAGTCCTGACCTGTCTCCAATAGAGAATGTGTGGTGCATTTTGAAGAACGAAGAACTCTAAGATGTTTCTTCAGCTCTGAATCCCTCAAGAATGTTTTTTTTTATTATTATTACTGTTATTATTTGTGAATTTTCTCTCCAGTGTGAGTCTGCGCATGTTTATCAAGGGATGATGACTGCCTGAAACTCTTCACTCTGAGTACATGTGAATGGTTTCTCTCCGGTGTGAATTCCCTCACGCGTCTGAGTGTTTTGTGTTGTATGTTGCCTGAGATGGATCCTCAGCTGTGAAAGTCTCCTAAATGTTCTGCCGCACTGATCACATCTGTGCGATTTCTCTCCAGTGTGGATCTTCGTGTGTTCATTAAGGTTTGCTAATTGTGTGAAACTCCTCCCACACCGAGCACACGTGTGCGGTTTCTCTCCAGTGTGAATCATCTTGTGATGTTTAAAGGTACTAGCCAAACTGAACGTCTTGTCGCAGTGTGGACACTTGTACGGTTTCTCTCCAGTGTGACTCCTCTGGTGCAGCTTCAAGTCTGCAGCTCGAATAAAAGTCTTCTCGCACTCTAAGCAGACGTACTCTCTCACAGCGGTGTGGATCTTCTGGTGTACATTTAAACTTGACTTCTGTGAAAAACTCTTCCCGCACTCAGAACAGGAGTAAGGCTTCTCCTTTGTGTGAACTCTAAGATGGATCTTCAGCCCTGAAGCCCTCAAAAATGTTTTGCCGCACTGATCACATCTGTGTGTTTTCTCTCCAGCATGGAGCAGCAGGTGTGTTTTCAGGTTTTCTGATCGATTGAATCTCATGTCGCAGTGCGAACACTTGTACGGTTTCTCCCCCGTGTGAATCCTCTTGTGTGTTTTCAGGTGTCCTGAACAACTGAATCTCTTGTCGCAGTGTGAACACCTGTACGGTCTCTCGCCAGTGTGGATCATCATGTGATGCTTGAGAGTCTGTTTGCAGCTGAAACTCTTTCCACACTGAGAGCAGATCAACCAATTTCTGGCTGTGGTTTCCACTGAAAAACTACCTTCAGTCTCTGACTGAGTTTCTTCTTCCCTCTTGACCTGATGTTTCTCCTCATCTTCACTCAGTTCTTCACTCTCCTCCTTCACCACCACCACATCTGAAAATTAACAAGTCACATTTTAAGAGTCTAGCTCAAGAGTCTAGAATAAGAGCATTTGTGTGTTTGGCTGAGATGTGTAAGGGGTCAAATACACTCAAAAATGTGTGAAAAGGCTGTGTGCTCTCACTAGGCACAGTTGACATGAATCGAGCACATGTGTCCTGCACAGTTTGGGCTGTAACCACCCTCATGGAGTCTGATGTATGCACATTTGTGGCCTGCTGGATGTCATTTTGGAGGGCTCTGGCAGTGCTCCTACTGTTCCTCCTTGCACAAAGGTGGAGGTAGCAGTCCTGCTCCTGGGTTGTTGCTCTCCTACAGCCTCCTCCATGTCTCCTGATGTACTGACCTGTCTCCTGGTAGCGCCTCCATGCTCCAGACCACAGGTGTCAAACTCGGTTCCAAAAGGGCCGCAGCTCTGCACAGTTTAGTTCCAACCCTAATTAAACACACCTGATCAAACTAATCGAGTCCTTCAGGCTTGTTTGAAACCTACAGGTAGGTGTGTTGGAGCAGGGTTGGAACTAAACTGTGCAGGGCTTCGGCCCTCCAGGAATTGAGTTTGACACCCCTGCTCTAGACACTACGCTGACAGCCCAGCAAACCTCCTTGCCGCAGCTCGCATTGATGGATCCTGGATGAGCTGCACTACCTGAGACACTTGTATGGGCTGTAGACTCTGTCTAAAGCCTGGTTTATACTTGACGTATGTCCGCTTGAGAGCGCACGGCGAATGTGACATCAGAGGAGTTTGCAGATGTTCGCTTTGGGTGCACGCGACATGATTTCGGCCGGCTTTGAAGAGATTTTGTCTGAAACAGTACGACTGTACACACATCTTTATGATCCCGGATCATAGAGATAACCAGATGATCAATAATTCTTGGCTGGAAATAACAACAGTCGAGGGAAAGGAGAACGTTTTTGTTTAAAGGTTGGGAAAAACCTGAGGGATGAGTTTTTAAATCCAAAAGAGGCCATGACAAAAGTGGAGACCCAGGTACACAATCACAGAATACGTGTTTCCACCAGTCATAGATTTTTACACTGATGTATATATACACAATTGTGAATGTAAAACAATGTGATAGTTACAAAACTATAATTAAGGAGAGAGAGAGTTTTAATTTTATTGCCATTTCAGCTTCTATGGCTATTTCATGGCAAAAAGTTCATCACTTTTTATAAACACCAATTTTTTTATAATTATAAAAATATTCTAACAACTAAAAGTAATCAACAGTATTAAATAATGTACAGGGTAAAATAAATAAATAATAATGACAATATATAAGATAAAAATCTAAAACTTTTTTTTTAGATTTCCTTTTGATAAAAATGTTTACAATTTTAGATGGATTCACATTTTAAAATATTTCCTTTCTATAATTAAGGAACAGATTATTTCTTTGATAACTGGAAAGGTTTACAATATACTGATGGCTGTTTTTCTGGGCTTTATTGGTGATAATGATCTGTAATGTTGGACCATTATTGCCTTTTTAGCATAATAGAGGACAGAAACTCGCCAGACAGTAATGTGAGAATTGTGGAGCGGGCTAAATCTGAAAAACATCAGTCTTTTTTAAGGTAATTGTGCTCTTTTATTTAGCTTTTATTCTTGCCATAATAAAAATATAACGGTAGAGCAAACCAAGTTCTGTTGTCATTAATATTTTAATAAGCTATAATAGGTAAAACTGTCCAAGACATGAACAAAAGCAAGTGATGCATCCAAGTTTGATTTTAAAAATATTGAATCGTTATAAAAATCCTTCTAATCATAAAACAAAATTAATAAAAACAATAAAATTAATTAGCTTACGCAAGAACTTGTTAATTAGGTGTATTATTTTTTTCCAGTTTGTGCTATTTAACAATCTTTTTAATTCAATACTTTTGGCATTGATTTTGTTCCATATATTTATATATACATATACACACACACACACACACACACACACACACATACATATATATATACACACATATATACATATATACAAACACACACACACACACACATACATATATATATACACACATATATACATATATACAAACACACACACACACACACACACACACACACATACATATATATATACACACATATATACATATATACAAACACACACACACACACACATACATATATATATACACACATATATACATATATACAAACACACACACACACACACATACATATATATATACACACATATATACATATATACAAACACACACACACACACATACATATATATACACACACATATATACATATATACAAACACACACACACACACACACACACACACACACACACACACACACACACACACACACACATATATATATATATATATATATATATATATATATATATATATATATATATGCATGTTAAAAATTGAATGAACATGTTTTCAAACTGGAATCATGACACAGGGAAACAACAGTATCTGAACACACCAACACTCATCAGTCACTGAAGGAGAAAGCTCAAGCTTATTCACAGAGAGAGCTGGGGTTCGTTCATTCTGCTGGATTTGGTTAATGAAGTTTTTTTTTATTAATGAATAAAGCTCATGTAATCTATGCCCCAAAATACCTGTCATGGGGGTTGTCCTAACAAAGGGGTTCAAAGAGAACATTTATTAATATGGACTTTATAGATACAAACGCATGCTATTTCAAGGTACCGACCCAGCTTAGTACAATTTCTGTAAGATAATGAACATGGCCTATATATATTTTGTTTTTCTGAATAATAGTTTATGGGAGTCATGCACACGTTTTGACAGCTAATTTGATGCTTCACAAAGGTTGCAGAGACCTTTACCAATATCACAATGCTTTGTGATGCAAAATTAATTTAAACAACCAGTTATTCCCTACGGCGATTACGAAATTTGAATAGGCGACTATGATAAAGAAAATCTGCTCTAATAGAAAACCTAAAATAAACTGCTAAATACTCTTGAAAAAGCCTGCAGCCCACAACAAAGTTGAAAAGTTATTGCGTAATAATATTTAACAATCTGAACTGAAGACTTTATGCATACCTAAATATTAATCAGATGATGTCATTATGCTGGTGTGCCATCAGCCAATCACTGCATTGCTGATCTTGATTTTGAGGATAGATAGATCTGTCCTTCACAACACACGCAGTTCGGTTCATCCAGACTTTTTCGCAAACTTGTTTGAAGAACCAAAGTAGCCAGAGATCAGTCATCAAGATTAAAAATACAGAATCTGCCAAATCATCTTAGATCATTTAAGCGAGATACGAAGAACAGACCCCTGTGTCCGGTTTTTCAAAAGTAATCCACTGGGATTTTGGATAAGGGATTGGATCAAATCTTGAAAATGGGTTTTTCAAAAGAAAAAATGGATTACATAATCGGATTAGATCACGTAATCCAATCTTGGTTTTGATCCGGATCAAACCTTTACTTTGGGTTTTTCAGACCTTTTTTGTCCAAAAAACCTGGATTAAACTGATCTCATCAGAAGGGTGGATTTAGCGTGGATTTCATGCCCGAAATGTAATGAAAACTTAAAAAAAAAAATATTAATTAAAACTATTTTTGGATCATGCAGTATCTTACGAGATATACTATTTATTCATAAGGTTTTAATTTTATTTGTTCATCTGTCAGGCTATAGTGATTATTGGCTTTAATGTATTTAGACTTTCAATATAGGCCTACAGCAAAATAGAAAGAGTTTGGCCTCATAAAATAATCCCCCAAACAGCTGTCAAATTTACCAAAAACAATACATTTTATTCTGTTACTATATTTATATACAATTGTAAAAAGAGACTGGGCAGAAGCACAGCTTCATCTGGCAAAGGAACAACTGACTCCGACCAAACTGCAGCAAACCAAGGCCACACTTGAGATCTGCCTCCTAAAGAATACACTCAGACAAGCTGCTCCCTCCACATCAGATGAGGAAGTCTGACATTATTGTTGAGGTTTCAACATTTTCTTTTTTTTTTATTCAATACATCTATATTTAAACTTATTATAAAGATAGATCTCAGATGAGCGGACTGCTGAAAGAGGATGGGGTGGGGTTTTTCTTGCTTTTATTATTTAGCATTATAATTATTTTATTATTTATAAAATGTTCTTAGTTTTCATTTCAAATAAAAATAAAGTTATATTGACCCCACACTGGCTATTCTACTTGTTGCTCTTTACATAGGCCTATCTATCCATCTACATTGTGATTGAGCACTAGTTATCCAGATTTAGTGATCCTGAAAAGTTCCTATCCGTATCAGATTGATCCAATCCAATGTTGCTTTGAAAAACTGGCTTAAAAAGTAAGCTGGATTACGTGATCACGGATCGCAAAAACAGGATTACTAAATCCGGATAAATTTTTCCGGATTAAACCTTTTGAAAAACCGGGCCCAGGAGATCGGTCAGTTTCACCGCAGTCAGTGAGTGTTCATTTTTCTCCAGTTATGATCAATACAGCAGTGAAGATGAATGTCAGATTAACAACCTCACTGTTGTTCATCCTCATTATTGAAGAGTAATGAATGAACACAAACCTATTAGTTCTTCAGTCTCTTCCTGTTTAATTCTGCAGGGTTCTGGATCACTCATCTTCTCACTGTCCTTCAATAAACTCTGTCTTTGTCTTTCACTGATGGAGCTTCAGAGGAATAAACAGAGAAATCTGAGTCATTTACACTGATTTGTGAAACACATTATGATGCTACATCTTAAGATACAATATGTGATTGTGTAATTTGCTCAGGTCGGGTGACATTAATAACATTCACTTATATCGAATAATCTGAATATCGATGAGCCTTAGACTATAAACATTTATTTAACAGCTATTTAGGACCAGAACTAGATTAGTTAATGTTTTTACATCAAAGTTCATATACCTGCCACGCCAGATTACCATTATTTTCCTTCACAGACCACACTTAGCAATGTTACTAATACAAACCCTACGAAAAGCCTAACCCTGACACACAAAAAACACAAACTGAGCTCATATCGTCCTCTCAGAGCTGCTCTCTGCCTGCTGTATTGTTCTGGTCAGCAGACACACAGATAGAGGTGAACTCAATGCAGAAACTAGTCGCAGATTGTCGCTTTAATAAACTGTAAAGTGTGTTTTATTGTTGTGTAAACACGAGAAAAAGCGTCAACGACTCACCTCAGCTCTGAAGACTCGACGCTGAATGAACGCGTCAGCGATGACGTCATCACGGCGAGAGCAACGGCGGATTAACCGGAACACCGCTGACGGCCAAAACAATCGCTAATGTAGACAAAACATTATCGATCATGTGTGAGCTAAAAGGCTTTAATATTAGGCACTTAAATCTTTGTTAAAAACACACTTCTTATATAAAAGCAAACGTAATAGGCTGATTAAGGACATGTTCAAAATGATCTCTTCCTGAAGTAACTTAAATGTGTTTTTAATAAAATGTAAGAAATAATAAAAAATATATATATATATATTAGCAAAATAAGGTTACAAATGCTTAATTACACTAAGCATGGACTGTTTTCATATTATTTTTATTATTTATAGAATTGGATTATAGTCCATATTATGCAAATGTTGTACCTGCAAAAGTAATATTGACAATAATTTTACGAACGCACACACACACACACATTTTTATTTTTTTAAACACCATTTTAAGGTCAAAATTATTAGCCCCTTTAAGCTATATTTTTTTCAAAAATCCACAGAACAAACCATCGTTATACAATAACTTGCCTAATTACCCTAACCTGCCTAGTCTTTAAATGTCACTTTAAGCTGAATACTAGCGTCTTGAAAGATATCTAGTCTAATATTATTTACTGTCATCATGGCAAAGATAAAATAAATCAGTTATTAGAGATGAGTTATTAAAACTATTATGTGTAGAAATGAGTCTGAAATATCTGCTCTCTGTTAAACAGAAATTGGGATAATAAAAAAATAAACAGGGGCCTTAAACTGTATATGCAAAATAAAACTGAAACACTGGCTAATTTAGCATTGGAGATATCATGGCTCTTTCGTCATTCAATGTTATTACACCATTCAAAATTTTAGTTTTTGTATTTTTGTATTGAAGTCAAAAGATATATTAAAGTAGAATGAAACAGCCCTGATCTTCTTCTTTTGCAAAATTCCTGTCATTTTTCCCCTGCAAATTAGATTTTTTAAATCGGCTTGATTATTTTAAAACCGAAAGCAAAGTCTGTCAACTGGTGTTTTTCCATAAGATACACCTTTGCAAATCTTTTAGTTTATGTGTTAAATCTTTAATGTGCTTTTTAGTCATTTTATTCTATTCAAAGCAGCACCCAGAAGCGAATTTATCCTCGAAAACATGGCATGAGAGCGATGCATGTGTTGGATGATTGCTTTTTTTAACCGCGCGATTAATTCCTGATCCTTTGCATAAAGTTTTTTAATCAAAAGACAGGTAATTTAATTAATTTCGATGTGCTAAAATATTTAAACGAATTTTATTATTTTTTAAAAAGCATATATACATAATAAAACTGTAAAACAGAATAAAGTGGATGGTCTAATGGGAAATAAAGGAAATTAGTTATATATTTCATTATTTAATAAATAGAATAGGCTTGTCCAGTGGTTCTCAAACTTTGTCATCAAGTAACACCTCAGAAAAAATGGTCTCTCCAAGCACTACCATAAGTAACAGTATTGAAATACAGTAGCATAGTAGGCCTAATTAAGCAGCTACAGCTCTGTACAGTTCAAAAACAAGGCAGATTAATTCCTATTGTTAAGAATATTCATTATTTTTAGCCACTTTAAACGTTATAAATAGTTTGAACAATAACACTGTATTGTGCTTACAGATAAAAAACAAACAAACAATATGTCAACATTTTAATTAAAACGTGCTTTAAAAGTTGAATTAAAATGGTAGACTTTTAGGTGGTAGAAATTTTAGCTTAAATTAAACGTTAAAACGGCTGTCAAGAACAACACTGGGTGCTTGTTGCTTCAACACTGTTGATAAGCTGTGGTGGGCGTTTCCTATCAGTCTCACACTGAACACAGTCGACCAATCACAACAGACTGGGTCATCAAACCAATCACTCCAGATTAGCATCACACAAAGGAAGGGTTTGGTAATAATGAACCACTGAACAAATCACATGAGAGTCATCGGGATCATTAGGTAACAAAACATACTATAAGACAAAGTGTTCTTTAAACTTGCATGAGCATCGGCCTGTTGTTGGAGACCCCAAAACCAAAACAGGAGCTTTGATAATGCATAATAAGGGCACTTTAACTGTGAAATCTGGTGCTTGTGAATATAAAGTTGAGTTTTCAGGTAGGGAAATTATAACTCTCTGTTAAAGCCCCTTTGTATGAACTCTCAGATGTTTCTTCAGCTCTGCAGCCCTCAAAATTGTTTTTCTTTTTGTTTAATTTGTGTGTTTTCTCTCCAGTGTGGATCAGCGCGTGTTTCTTAAGGTTTGATGATTGTCCAAAACTCATCCCACACTGAGTACATGTGAACGGTTTCTCTCCGGTGTGAATCCTCTCGTGTTTTTTTAGGTATCCTGAATCTCTGAACGTCTTGTCGCAGTGTGAACACTTGTACGGCTTCTCTTCAGTGTGAATCAGCTGGTGTCGTCTCAAGTCCCCAGCTGTAATAAAACTCTTCCCACACTTAAAGCACACAAACTCTCTCACGCCAGTGTGGATCTTCTGATGTGCATTTAAACTTGACTGCTGTGTAAAACATTTTCCACACTCCGAACAGGAATAAAGCTTCTCGTTTGTATGAAATCTGAGATGGATCTTCAGCTCTGAAGGCCTCAGAAATGTTTTGCTGCACTGATCACACTTGTGATTTTTCTCTCCAGTGTGTCGCTGCGTGTGTTCATTAAAGTTTGAAAACTGTCTGAAACTCTTCCCACATTGAGTACACTTGTACGGTTTCTCTCCAGTGTGAATCATCTCGTGTGTTTTCAATATTTGTAACCGCTTGAATCTCTTGTCGCAGAGTGAACACTTGTACGGTTTCTCTCCAGTGTGAATCCTCATGTGCTGTTTTAAATGATGAGCTGTAATAAAACCCTTCTCACACTTAAAGCAGACAAACTCTCTCACGCCAGTGTGGATCTTCTGATGTGCTGTTAAATTTGACTGCTGTGTAAAACCCTTCCCACACTCAGAACATAAATAGGGCTTCTCATTTGAATGAACTCTAAGATGGATCTTCAGCCCTGAAGCCCTCAAAAATGTTTTACTGCACTGATCACACTTGTGTGTTTTCTCTCCAGTGTGGATCTTCATATGACGATTGAGATCACATTTCTGACTGAAACTCTTTCCACACTGAGTGCAGGTGAAACCATTCCTGGATGCTGTTTTCACTGAAAAACTATTTTCAATCTCCAACTGAGTTTCACTTTCACTTTGGACATGATGTTTCTCCTCATCTTCACTCAGATCTTCGCTCTCCTCCTTCACCACCACTTCTGAAAATGAATAAGTCACATATTAATAGTTTAGTTTTTTATCCACACAGTCAAGTGATCAGGAATGAGAGCATTGGAGTAAGTGGTGAAATATGTTTGCACCTTGGCTTTAATTTTTAATAAAGCTATAGTTAATCCAGTGTGTGTGCGTGTTAGCCTTGCTGTAGCTATAAGCTCAGAAGGTGGTATAACTTTGTTTAATAGCAACAGAAACGCAGCATTGAGAAGCCTTTACGATTAAGTAACCATGACGAATTAAATTGTGGTTAATAGACTGATTTCACGCGGCCGCCATTTTCAAAAGCGAAATCGAGGCTGCGGTGGGAAGAAACCCGGAAGTATCATTGAGAGTTACATAGGAATGTTGTGTAACTGGCTGTATATCTTATCAGCGAAGAGAAAGTGACACAAATTTATAATATCTCCGCCTTCCGGGTGACCCGAAGGTCCAATCTGAATGAATGCTGAATATAAAAAGGGATATCAGAGCTCATTTTTAGCTAAGTTAAGGGAAATGGCACTAGTTAGCTAACGTTTTCTTTCCCAAACACACGTTTTAGATGCTATTCATCAAACTTGAGTTAATAAACTGAATCTTTCACTATATTAGACTTGTCACGATACTGAATTAGAAGACCGGCAACTTCGCGCTAACATTTAAGGCACTGTTGATGGCTTTCTTGAAACAGCGCTGATTTGCTATTGTGTTCACGTGTTCAACAGAAATGCTTGTGATTGGCCGAGAAGGTCATCAGTTCACCCACCGCTGTATACTGAGCACAAACCAATGACTGTAAAAAATATGGACGACGCGACAGCCCCTTTTCCCATTGAACGCCTTGAGGGCAAAACGCCTGCTTGACGGGCACAAACTGTCGCAAAAGACTGCTGAAATTGGAGCTTTGACATGCGCAGAAGGACTGTCTGATGGAGCCAGAGGAGGAGCCGCGAAAATGAGCGGAGTCGAGCTTCCAACCAAACGCTTTATGTAAAATCAACCACGCCCCCCGAACTGCTCAGCATGCGTTTGCTGTCATATCAACACAAATGGATGTAATAACGTTAACAAATATGAGGGTTTTATATATTCAATCGCGCCAGCTCCGGACCGCAGCGCATAACATACTCGTGGAGTCGCGGGCTGATTCCGGCTCGCATGCGGCAGCGCCTGCTCGGGCTGGAATCGGGTAGTGAGTCCAGGCATCCGGAGTAGGTGCAGCAGAGGTAGTCAGTCTGAGCTCTGAGGGGTAAGTCTCCGGCAATCGAGAATCTAGCCGGAACTGGCCAGAGTGTGTTTTGCTACCTGGTTGGTTAGGCGTGTATCAGCAAACTAATAAAGCCCGAAAAAAGCCCTGACCTTAGCGAATAAACAGTGTTCCACCAGGATCATGTATGTCAGAAACTGTAGTTTACTGCTGAACTCATTTTGTCATGGTAAAATAACACAGAAATCCAATAATAACACTTCAGTCTCCTGCCGAAGCTCAGACGCGCTGCTTTGAGAAACTGTCAATCACAGCTGTCAATCACGATGACACGCCCAGCATTAAATTACTGCTAAAAACAAACTGTTTACAAAAATGAAGATCTGCACCTATTTCAGCACAATAACCAGTGCCTTAATCCACCAGAACCATCTTTCAGGACATTTTATTGCAAGTGTAATATTTTTTTTTATTTGGGCTCAAGTCTCCTTCATTAACACGGAGGAGGCGGGCTTTATGACTTGTACTGCAGCCAGCCCCCAGAGGGCGATCTAACGGCTGAGATCTTCACTCAAACACAGGGTTGCGGCACACTTGGCACAAACACAGATGAGCCAAGCGATCTGCTGGATGACTCGACTGATCTTGACGGCTGCTTCGCACTCCAGTCCGTGTATCTGTGCTTGCACTGGGTGAAGAGCGGTAAACTGAGCGCAAACTAAACACAGATACACGGAGACTGAAGCGCGATGCCGTGAAGATCAGTCGAGTCATCCGCGCTCAGCAGCGCTTCAATGTTAGCGGGAAACAGCCGGGTTTAAAACTTAAGTACCGGGACAACACTATTATATACAACACGAGGGTGTGCAGCAGAGGACTGCAGTGTTTTATCACTCACCGGGTTACATAGACTGAAGCAGGAAAGCGTCCTCACAGTGTTTCACTAGTGTCATGAGCTGAAGCCTAGGAGGACACTTAAGCTTATCACTGAGATTGTGATCTTGTTTGATGCTAAATTGCTTTTAATTGTTTAAAATAAACTTACTGAATAATATTAAAGTGATGGTTACACCATTTCTGCATTTTGAAATCTCTGCAGCAGCTGGAGGTTTATAGTACACGGCATGTTACTGCAATGTTTACAGTGCTGAACCTATACTTCCGGGTTTCTTCCCACCGCAGCCTCGCTTTGATTCTGTAAAATGGCGGCCGCGTGAAATAAGCGTATAGTGAAATCAGTTAATCGTTGCATCCCTAGCAGGGAGTTAACTTTACATTTGCTCAAAAGGGAATTAGCATAAAGGTGCAGTATGAAAGTATGACCCCCAGTGGGTGAACTAGACATTGCACTCTTGGATCAAAACAAACTCAAGTGCATCCTGCATCAACAGGAGCGTGCACAATTATCGAGCCCAAAGGCTAATTTAAAGGGTCACGAAACACCAAAACACATTTTTTGAGCTGTTGACAGTCGTATATGTGTCCCACACTGCTAAAAACACTATTAGGACACCTATATTTCACTAAAAAGTGTAAATTGGTTGTTTTTGCGTTATTTCAAGCAAATTCGTACTTCCGGTTTGAAACGAATTTTTGAAGCTGCGTCACGGTCATGACATAATAGCGTGTATTCCAGCGTGCAGACTGGACGTCTGTGCCAGAGTGTGTCTTATTACGTCTTACAGTGTGCTGCATTAATGCATGAGTAAGGCTTGGTTCAAACCAATCAGCGCGCTCTATTGTGCAACTTCATTAATATTCATTACTATCACCGTGTTTTCAGGACAGAGACGCCATGTTGTGTTGGCAAAACAAGCGTGAAGTGTTGCTTTTATAGTTTGCTGCAGTGAAGTTTTGTTTTCATTTTCTCTCTGTGAGAGCTCAGACTCACGTGTGGATTAACAGTGTACGCGACGCTCGACAACAATAACTTACGTGTCTAAGGAGGATTATTGTTTACCTGAGAGCTGTTCTCATCTGCAAACGCTGAGATCCGGATTCGCTTGTAGTATTCTCTTCATAAAGACGCGGCTCTAGTTGCTGTTGATTGTCCTGTCGCTACAGATTTGGTAAGTGAGTGACCAGTGCTCTTTGTTTATTCAGTTTGTTCGAATCTAACAAACTATTGCAAAGAGTGTAAACACGTTAGCACCACAACCAAACTTTAACCTCGTGTAGGGTTTTCACCGCATTTAGTGACCGGAATAACACACGCAGCTTTCTGACGCTACCTGCCGTGTGCATCTAAGTTTCTGGGAAATGTGGAGGGTTTTTTTTCTCTCATTCTCCATGCGGTATCAAACATTGCTTGAAAAATACACGCTTAGAGCAGTTCCTCGAATCAAATATCTCGTGTGTCGCGAGGGGCATGAATGAATTCCCTGAATGAAAGAGTCAAACTGCGGTCAAAGTCCACCATTTAATAATTTGGCAAATAATTTGACTACAGATGTCCATGTAGGTTAAACACCCTCACTTTCTACTGTGTGTGAGTATTTTGACTCTGAAACTCGCGCGTGCCCAAATAGACACTCCCACACCCTCCCACTTTTCTTCCTCCGACACTCCCTCCTAAACAGAGCTGGACACGCCCACTTTTCTGACTTTTTCCAAAGTAGAGGTGTGAAAATACCCTGCTGAAACGAGGGGGTTTCATGGCCCTTTAAATCATGTTCAAAATTAAAGCAACGTCACGCAAAAGAAGGAATATTTTCAGTTTTTGCCCTAACCAACATCTGAAACTTTAGGAACAGCTTCACTTCTAAACTAGAATGATCACCTCAGGTATATCTTATGTGCTTTATTCAGCGTTAAATGCTAATAATGTGAGGTTGTGAGGTTTACCTTCGTAATATTTGTTATTTGCTAATTAGTAACCACCTCATGTAGAACTCTAAATCTGCGTCTCATTTAGGGGCTGCTACTGTCCATGGGAGGTCTCTTTTTTTGGTTGCGGGCACTTTCTAGGAGAGCCTTCCTGACTGAATGAATCAAATATGCTGTTTTCCACCATGGTGACCCGGAGTGCTGAAATATAATTGGCTAAACTGCACTCAAGACGACCTTTTTGCTAACTACTGATACTGACAACTGAATGATTCACTGATTAATGCGATCAGTTAAACAGCTTAAAATGTCATTATATTTAAGATTTTTAGAGCTTTTTTAAAATGTTTGTTGCGTGAGGAAAAAAAATCAGTCATAACTGTGTCTAGAGAGAATAAATATCAGTCATGTCTAAACTGCCAGGAAACAAAGATACCAGTAAAAAATACTGTAAAATAAAATAAAATAACATTATATATATATATATATATAT